ATTATAAGACTATACCATGAACAATTAACATGTCAACAAATTGAAGAACCTAGAATAAACAGATACATTCTGAAAAACATACAATCTTCCAAGACTGAACAGGAAGAAATAGAAAATCTGAAGAGACCCATACCAGTAACAAAAACCAATCAGTAATAAAAAAATTCTCAACAAACAAAAAGCCTAGACCAGATGGCTACACAAGTGAATTTTACTAAACATTCAAAGAAAAATTAATACCTATCCTTCTGAAATGATTTCAAAATTTAAAGAGGAGGGAAGTCTCCCAGACTCATTTTATGAGGCCAGCATCCCCCTGATACCAAAACCAAACAAAGACACTATAAAAAAAGAAAATTATAGGTCAATATCCCTGATGAACATAGATGCAAAAATCCTCAACAAAATATTAGCAAACCAAATTCAGCAATACACTAAAAACATCATACATCACAATCAAGTGGGATGCAAGTTTGGTTCAATATCCATAAATCAATTAATGAGATACACCACATAAAATAAAAGATAAAAATCATATGATCATAGCAATAAATGCAGAAAAAGCTTTTGACAAAATCCAACATTCATTCATGATAAAAGCTCCCAGCAAAGTGGGGATAGAGGGAATACATCTCAACATAATAAAGGACATATATGACAAAACCACAGCTAAAATCATACTCAACAGTGAAAAGCTGAAAGCTTTTTCTTTAAGATCAGGAACAAGACAAGGATATCCATTTTCACCACTTTTATTTAACATGGTATTGGAATTCCTAGACACAGCAATCAGACAACAAAAAGAAATAAAAGTAATCTGATTTGGAAAGGAAAAAGTAAAACTGCCATTATTTGCAGATGACAATACCATACAGAACCGTAAGATTTCACTAAGAAAACTATTAGAATTGATAGATGAAGTCAGAAAAGTAGATGACACAAAATTGATTCAGAAATTTGTTACATTTTTATACACCAATAACAAACCATCAGAAAGAAAAAAAAAATCCCATTTCCAATTGCATCAAAAAAATTAAAATAAAATTCCCAAGAATAAATTTAACCAAAAAGGTAAAAGACCTGTACTCAGAAAACTATACAATATTGAAGAAAGAAATTAAAGAAGATACAATAAATGGAAGGCTATACTGTGCTCACGGATAGGAAGAATTCACATCATTAAAATATCCACACCCAAAGCAATCTATAGATTCAATACAATTCTTATCAAAATACCAATGACATTTTTCACAGAACTAGAATAATCTAAAATATATATGGAACCACAAAAGACCCTGAATAGCCAAAGAAATAATGAGAAAGAACAAATTTGGAGGTATCATGCTACCTGATATCAAACTACACTACGAGGCTATAGTAATCAAAACACTACGGAATAAAAACAGACACTTAGGTCAATGGAACAGAAGACAGCCCAGATCTAAACCCATGCCTACATGGTCAATTAACCTGTGACAAGGGAAGTAAAATTATACAATGTAGTAAAGACAGCCTATTCAATAAATGATGTTGTAAAAACTGAACAGATACATGCAAAAAATTAAAACTAAATCACTTCCTTATACCATATACAAAAATAAACTGAAAATGGATAAAAAATTTAAATGAAATAATAAAACTGAAACCACAAAACTCCTAGAAGAAAACATAGGTATAATAGTAAACTCTGTGATGTTGCTTTTAGCAGTATTGTTTTTTTTTTGGTGGGGGTAATGTTTTCTCAGGCAAGATAAACAAAAAAAATATATGAACAATTCAGACTACATCAAACTAAGAAATTTTGCACCACAAAAGAAACCATAAACAAAATATAAGGACAACTTACTGAATGGGAGAAGATATTCAGCAATGACATATCTGATAAGGGGTTAACATCCAACATATATAATGTACTCACACAATTTAACTCTCCTCAAAAAACAATCCAATTAAAAAATGGGCAGAGGACATGAATAGACATTTCTCCAAAGAGGATATACAGATGGCCAGTAGACGTATGAAAAGATGTTCAACATCACTAATCATCAGAGAAATGTAAATTAAAATCACAATGAGATATTACCTTATACGAGTCAAAATGGCTATCATCAATACATCAACTAACAAGAATTGGCAAGGCTGTGGAGAAAAGGGAACCCTCATGCACTGTTGGTGGGAATGTAAATTGGTACAGCCACTATGGAAAACAGTATGGAGGGTTCTCAAAAATTAAAAATAGAACTACCATATGACCCAGCAATCCCACTTCTGAATATTTATCCAAAGAAATCTAAAACACTAATTTGAAAAGATATGCACCCCTATATTTATTGCAGCATTACTTACAATATCCAAGATATGGAAGCAATCTAAGTGTCCATCATAGCTGAATGGATAAAGTCGAAGTGGTACAAATATAAAATGTAATATTACTGAGCCATAAAAAGAATGAAACCTTGCCACATGGATGGACCTAGAGGGCATTATGCTAAGTGAATAAGTCAGACAGAGAAAGACAAATGCCATATGATTTCACCTATATGTGGAATCTAACAAACAAAACAGAAACAAACTCATAGATACAGAAAACAAATTGATGGTTGCAAGACAGGAGGGGGTTGGAGGTATGAATGAAATAGGTGAAGTGATTAAGAAGTACAAACTGGCAGTTATAAATATAGTTACAGGGATGTACAGCATAAGGACTATAGTTAATATTGTAATAACTATTAATATGTATGGTGTCATATGAATACTAGGCTTACCAGGGTGATCACTTCATATGTTATATAAATGTTTAATCACTATGTTATACACCTGAAACTAACATAATATTGTATATCAACTGTAATTGAAAATTTTTTAAATATATTAAAAAATAAAAATTAAAAATTAAACCATTTCAAAATGGAAAGTTAAAGATGACACTAATTAAACAAAAACAAACTAAATTTCAACTATGTATGTCAATGTAATGTGTGTGTGGTGTGTGTTTTGTGTGTGAAGACAGAAGTGAAACCACTGATTAGATATAACTAAACCAAGTAGTTGACTTTATAAACCCATTCCACATTTTTCAGTGGATGATGACATAATCAAGATAAAACACCGATTTTCCCTGATTAGGATTTCTCTGACAATGGTTATTTCACATATTCAATTGTAATACTATATAGTAACAAAAGCCCAAATTAGAATGAAGTTTAAATTAAAAATAGAAGGATTCAAAGGCAGATTGCTTATGGTAGAAGGTAATGGAATATATAAAAATCTAACAAAAACTGAACTACTGTTTGAACCATTAATAATCTAAAATAACTCCCTTCCTCCACAGCCCATCATTCTCTGTTCATTTACTCTGATGTATTTTTGTAGCATATATCACCACCTTAGATTTTATTATAGACTTTTCACTTTTTTCATTATCTGCCTTCCCAATAACAAATAAGCTATGAGTTGACTTTATTTACTCAGAATCTACAGCACCAAGCACATAATATGTGTTCAGTAAATAGTTGTTAAATATATAAAGAATGAACAGTTAGTTATCCTGTTCTACTATATTATTAAACTGTTTTTAAAAACAGAAAGAATAATCTTTCTTCTCTTAAAGATGTTGTGTGTGTGTCATTGCAATCAGCAGATGAATATTATCATTGTAGGAGGCTTTGGATTGGTTTACATATCTAGTCTTACATACTTAGAGCCCCTAATAACAAAGGACCCTATAAATATATGTAGTTGAGTACTGGTAAGGAGAAACTTCCCAGAAGTGTCTTATGTAGTATTCAGGATTACTCTGAAATAATTAGGCCCCAGTGGTCCTTGAATATGAGCACTGAAAATCCCGGAACCACAGATATGTTACTAATTACTAGATAAGATGTTTTCATACAGACAAGGTAAATCAGATTATATTATCCTCCTTCCTGTTGGATCAAGAATACCCCAAAGTTCCCCCAGTAACATTCTATTTATAATAAGACAGTATTAACATACATTTTAAAGAGTTTATTTTGTTCTGTTTTTTTGTTGTTGTTTATTTTGTTTTGTTTTTTTTCCACAATGTCATTATCCTAACACAAGTCATTTTCAGGTTTTTGGTCTTTATAATTTCATTTTCAATATTGGTCTCATTTTAGATACATATAATCAGGGTATAAATACAATTTTATAACCTATTGGGTCGTCGGGAAAGTCATGACGTATTTTTCTATGTTTTTCAATGCAAAAATGCATCATGACTTTCCCGATGACCCAATATTTGACCACAATATTATAAGGTTAACATTTTCCATGGAATTATATAATCACTATAATTAAAATTTTGTCAAAGTGATTATTCTTGGTATTAGTCAAGGTATTATCATATTCTTATCTTTTCTCTGATTGTTAGATATAAGGCTGTTTTTATTTTTCCCTGATTATTTTTCTACATAACATTTTTCCCCTTTTGTACTATTTTCTTGGGATACATTTCCAAGAGTTAGATTACTGAAAGGTTATTAACAGTTTTATCACTGTGAATAAGGTTTTTCTACGAAAATTGTACAAATTCACAAAACTAGCAGCAGAGTGTGAGCATGCAAATATCCCCACAATTGTGCCAACATTGGGTATTACATTTTTTAATGTTGCTAATTGATTACATGCGAAAGAGTAACACCTCACTGTTTTATCTTGTATTTTCTTTCAAATTTTGTTTTTATTATTTTTAGATACATTTGAGAGAAGGGGAGGTGCCAGGAGGCAGAAGGTGTCCTGTGAACAGCAAAAAATAGAATGTCAACTCAAAAGGGCTGAGAATAACATATTAGAGAGAGCCTGGGACTTGATAACATTTAAGTTCCTAATACATAATCATATTTTTAGTGAACCTTCGATTTCACAGTCATCTCACTTTAAGCAGGGGAAATAAACATTCATACCAATTTCCAAGTCATTATTATGGATAATTTAATGTTAATCGCTTGATATAAAAAAGAATAAAATAATCCTACCCTATTTATAGTTTCTGGATTCTTATCACTTGGTTCCTCAGGAATTTTAACAAGGAATTTAGAGGTGTCAGCCAACTGAAAGTGGGTCGGTAGTCTTCTGACAGTGGGGACAAATGTGAACATCAGAGGTTTGGCTTCAGAATCACCAGAAGAGACCTATGAAACACGTAATAAATGAGACTTTCAGTCTTGTCAAAGTTTTATCTTGACTTTATTCTCTATACACCATGATATTTATCTCACTTATTTTAATAAATTGCCTATTGTCCTGTGATCATGTGTATGGTTGCCAAAGAAAACAGCTACAAAAACAGCCATAGTGTGTCAGATTCTTTTATTATGATACCATTTATCATAAAAAGCATACAACCCCAGGAAGATCCTGTTGTAGGGGATGACAATAAAAGAGCAGTTTGACCAGCTGATCTGCTCAATCATCCCTCAATTCCTACAGCCTATGCGCACCTATGCGCACCCTGAGTTTTTTCCCATCCCGTACCCTGCTCCAACTCTTGAACCCTTTCCACTATATCCTGTCTGGAGTTCAGTCAGCCATCAAAATACCCTCCATATCCTTAACATCTTTTCTGAATATCCGAACTCTAACTAAACCATGGTTCCCTCTAAATTAGGGTTCTTCTTTCCAAGAAGCTCTCTCAGCAGTAGCTGTTTTTTCTCACACTGAGCCTGGGAGTGGAATAGGTGTCTTCTTTGCTCCTTTTTACTGCTTCCAGACCTTCCTTCTTTTTTCCTCTTACTTAAAAACTTCCAGCTTTGAATCTCAGTCATCAGTCTATACTGCTCACTACCTCTCCTTGTCGCGGTCATCTGTCCACACCCAAATCAAACCCTGCATTCTGAGAGGATTAAGTTCTTGGCTCAACACCACTCCCTCGAACACTATGCTTTTTATAATACCCAACATCATATTCCATGGGTAATTTTCCTAATATTGTGTCGCCTTGGCTCCTATTCTTCCTTGCCTCTCACATCCCTAGCCTACAGTAAAAGCTACAGGCCCTCCATAATTTTGGTTTTGCATTCTGTGACCATCACGTCTTTTCTTTCCATACCACTCCCACTAGCTTTCCAACTCCAACATTTCTTGGACCAAGCCAGAATGAAAATCTACTGATGCTTCCAACATTGTTTTCCCATACTTCTTTTTCTTTTAACATGCATGTGTTTACCACATGAATGCATTTAGCACAATTATCCCTGTGCATACAACTCAGATGTCTCTCCTCTCCCATCCTCACCCCCATGTGGGTAAATCACAGCCCTCACTAAACCTAACCCCCGACTTTACTCCGGCACCACAGAGGTAAATATGGTCGGGAAACATCACATGACCATGCTTGTTGGTTTTACTTCAAATTTATGACTTTGTGCCTCAGGCAGGCCCTTCAATGCTATGCTAAACCGTACTACGGTCCCATAGCCCATTCATTCTTCCCTCTCTCCTAGAAAGCTCACGTCTTTTCCTCTTTCTTGAAACCCCAACATCTTCTTCCCTAGCCTCACTCTGAGCTGATGACTTTCTCATTTCACTGAGAAAATTGAAACTATTAAAAAGGAACTTCCAAGGTCCCTGTCACCATACCTATCTGCCTACCTAGCCTTTTTATGTGGCCTTAAGTCCTGCCACTGTGCTCCTACTGAAACCAGCCCTCACTTGAATACTTTACCTTATACTCACTTTCATTTATTCAACAAGCCCTTATTAAATGCCTATGAATGTTAGGCAGTACTATAGAGGTTGGTGATAGAACAGTGAACAAAAATCTCTACCCTAACGGAATTTACATTGTAATGAAGGGAGCAGCAAAAGAAAAAAAAAGTAAAATACATAGTATTTTCAATAGTTATAAGCTATGCAGACTGGCTAAAAGGCTATTGCAATAACCCATGGGAGAAAAAAATGTTAGGTTGAACTTGGGTTGCTGCAGTGGTGGTGATCAGATGTGTTAAGATTCTGGCTATATTTCAAAGGGAGAAATTTCAAATTTGCTGGAAAATTAGATGTGGGATATAAAAGTTAGACAAGAGTCAAGATGAGTATAAAATTGTTGACCTGAATAATTTCAAAAAATGAGTTATTATTTACTGAAATGGATAAAACAATAAATAGGTGAAGCTGGTTTGAGAATAAAGATTAAATTTGAGGGCCGGCCGAGTGGCGCGATGGTTAAGAACTCGCTTGGGATGCCAGAGGGCCCCGGTTCGGATCCCACATATGAGGGCCAGTGACACTGCCCTCCACAGCTAAGATGCTGAACAACAGCTCAACCTGGAGCTGGGCTGCCGTGAGTCGCCGGCGACGGCGTGGGCTGCAGTCCCTGTGGCAGTGGATTGCCATGGGCTACCGTGTGTGGCCAGCAGCCAGCGTGAGCGGCCAGCAGCCGCAGTGAGCGGCCATCCAGAAGCCGGCGACTGATCTGCCTCGCCAGAGAAGAGCGCAATGATGGTGCCAACTTGGGCCAGTGAAGCAACATCCTCCACAACTAGATTGAAGAACAAAACGACAGCAACTTGTCTGTTCCCCTTTCCCCAATTCCCCAGCACTGTTCCCATCCCCCCAATTCCCCAATTAAAAAAAAAATCTTAAAAAAAAAAAAAGATTAAATTTGATATACCAAATATGCATCCCAGTAGGAATATGGAAAAGGGCATCAAGTTTAAAGATAAGTTTGTGCTGGGGGTAACATTATTAGGGTTGTTAACCTATACACAGTATTTAAAACCACAACACTAGATGAGATCACCAAAGAGTAAGCAGCACAAATAGAGAAAGGACAGGCGCCAGGTTGAGCCCTCCAAATTCTACCATTAAGTGATCCAGCAGCAGAGAAAGAACTAGGAAAGGTGACATGGATTTTAAAGAAAATAGAAAAGCATAGAATATCATCGACAGCAATAGGAAAGAGGGCCGACCATAAACAAACAAAAGGATTAAGAGACTGTACAGAGGGCTCAGCCCAAATGTAAATCTATGAATTTATAGCAAAGCATTTTGCTTAGCTGTTTGATATTCTCTCCAGGGATGCTCAAGTGTCTACCAAAGGAACTGTGAGTTGTACCATTTACGGAATTGATGTTTTGAGGTGGTTTTAGCAGAAGGATGTTGTGAGTACATGGAAATTGAGAGTTCTGATGAGAGCAGAGCAAATGCTCAACCATGGATAGGTCCAGTTTAGATAGGTAAAGAAGGGGAACCTCAAATTCAAGGGACTAGAAGTCTCCACGGCTCAAAATAGATTTGACAGCATGGTGTTTGGGAGAATGGTTTGGGGTCACAATATGGTTGTGACAGTTTAAGATTTAGAAGTACAGTAATTCTAGGTGGATTATAAGGTCTGGGCTTTGACCTTGAAACTGAGTACCTGAGATGAAAAAGCACAAAGGACACTGAGAGTGTGAAGGTCAAGCAATTATGAGACGAGCATGTTAACAGAGCCATCTTTATGAAAATGAAAGCCACGCTGGATGACAGCAAGGCTAGGCTGGAGAGAATGACTGATAGCATGGTAGCTCCGTGTGAGACTGGGTCCGGTGATACCTGGAACAGGCTACCTGGCACGCTAGGTTATTAATTCAATATTTTCTTTGTGATCATGAAATTCAACTAAAAGAACTGGATTTCCTTGTAGGCTATTTTACCCAAGTTATAGGACTAATGAACTAACTCTGGACCACTAATTATAGGGTACATCTTACTGGTAACTAAAAAACTAAAACATCTATGCCTTACAAAAACAATGCATATTCCTGAGATGGTATAAAATATACAGACAAAGCCTTCTGGGCCAATTTTTTTTTTAATATTCTTTTCTGCCTTGAAAGATATTTGTCATTATTCCCTGATTGCAGTCATATCACAATTCCCAGGTTTCAGCTTATCATCAGAAAATACTTTAAGTAATAAGTCAATGCTTTCCTTTATAGGAACATTAGATTCTTTGTGAGGTTTGGGAATCCCACTAGTTTTATCAGCAATACATAATACAACACACATTCTAGATGGATTATTTTCTAGGAGGCTTTCTTTAACCTGACTAATCTCATTCATATCACAATGGATGGAGAGTGGTTTTAGCAAGGAAATCACTAAGAGTAGTTCAGATAATTCATCACAGACTTTCATTTGGGTAAGAAATAAAGATAGTCTTCAAGGATTCAAAGAAGAGGTGACATTGTGACTTGTCCTAGGTTCTGTAGGCCTGCTCCCATCTCCCCATGTGATGACTAAAGATCTGTCTTAGGTTCCAACTAAGTGAAATTTAAATGCTAATGCATCAAAGGCTTCAGTGTACACACCCCATTGTTATGAAACACATATAACCATTATTAACAGTAAGTAGCTTTGTCTTCAAGCATATACGATGATGAAACTTTCCTTCTCCAAGAACCATGCACAATTTGTATAATTTAATGCTAATTAAATCTCTATAAACTACAACTAGATCTCCACTCATGTGAACGAAAACTGATGTTTCAGTAAGGTATGCTTTTATAACAACGCCCTCAAAGGACTGTCTGAACATAACCACATGCTGACTGAAAAGCAACTGAAAAGAAGTAAAATTATTTCCTTTCAATTTATGGTTATATTTTCCTGTAGAAACATCCGTATCCTACATAAAATTTCTTCAGCAGGGTAGAAGAACAATTTTCTTAATTTTAGTTGAACCAATGCATGATGTCATTCAAGAGTAATATAAAAATGGAAAATCTAATAGGACTGAAGACTCATGCATCTTCCTAGGTTACTGTGAGAGAACAAAATCAGCGATGAATTCCTGTTCACACACATATCCTCAGAAGGGCAACCACATAATGGGCAATGGTTTGGTACTCTTTTTAAGCTTTTAAGCTGAGAGTACAATGTTCTCATGGGGCTCTTTTCTCTCCCTGTACCTATCATCTGCTTATCTTACCAAGGATGCACAGAAATTTGTATACAGAATTTCAGTTGGAAAAGGATTTGAAATTATACCAACTACACTACGCAACATTTAGATGAAAAGCCACATGTTAGCGAATAGACTGCTGATGCCCTCCTTCAGGCAAGAAAAAAAAATGCTATTCACCGCATACTGTGGCCAAGTTCCACTGGAGCCCAGAAATAAATCGCTATGGTGATGAAAAATCATTTT